CTGCTCAAAAACGTCTCACTCGCACATGTTTATATTGAAAATATCCAATAACATGTAAACAAATATATCGACAATAAATTCGGAGCAATAGTTCATTAATAACATCTTCAACCAATAACTAAAGTTAAATTGACCGTTTATTTATGATATTTTCACTCATTAATAAAAATTAGCCTACTGAACTAAATGAACTAAACGAACTAATCTTTTGTACTATTCACTTTGCTGACCGAGATTGAAAGATGGAAATCAGCAAGGTGAACTAAACTTCCCAGGTCTAGTACAGTCTCATCAGACGTTTGAAGCAGTTCAAAGTGAACCTATGCCCACTTGCACCAAACTTCTTCTAAGCACGTCCTTACCTAAGTATACCTTAAAATTTAAGTCCGACTTAAAATTCAATGAGTTGCACCATCCGTTTTCCACGTGTTCTTAGCTAAGCATCAGGCAATACCCGGCAACTCTGTATTTTTCGTTCTGTTCTGTACGTCCTGGTTGGTTCACATCTGTTGTTTCTAACCAAATTCGTGATCTTTTTTAAATTTTGTTTTACTAATGGCTGCAAAACAGAAACGGTCTCCTAACTTCAGCGCTTCTGAAAGAGATACTCTTTTAGAGCTCGTCGCAAAGATGTAATCGAAAATAAAAAAACAGATGCAGTGTCTACGCAGGAAAAGCAGTCCACATGGGAAAAAATAACTGGCGAATTTAATGCTATTTGTCCAGCAACAATTCCGCGTACAACCGCAACAATCAGGAAATTTTATAACAATCAAAAAGAAGACATCCGGAAGCGCATTGCCAATCAGAAGAAGGAACTTTATCAAACTGGTGGCGGAGGAGTTGTGTCTTCGGTTCAAAGGAGCAATGCAGATAGAATATTATTATCTATTGTTAGTAATAAGACTTTGTATGGCGTGGATAATTCGCTTGCTCCTTTTGATGATGATTGGGTACCGCCAAACGAAATTCCACCATCTCTCATTGCAGACATACCAGGTCCTTCTAGAAGTGAGCCTATTAATATGTCTTTTTCCCAATTAATCAGAAAGGGCGTTGATGAAACGCTGAAATTCAAATTTCATGAGGTAAGTAGGTACTTATTTTTTTACAATAGGGCATTATGATTACACATGTATAGATGTATGCTGTATCTTTATTTTAATTAAACCTCTTCTAAATTATCACAGAATCAAGAGGAATCAACAATAGACAATATTGAACTAGTTTATGAGAAAGATGACAATATTGAAGTAAGTTCTTCTTTTCTGTATCTAATTCGTATATTTTAAGGTTCAAGGCATTATTTGTATAGTAGCTAGTTATTTTTAACTTTATTTAAAATTTGAGCTTGATCTATTTGTTGTAATACATTTTTATTTTTCATACTATTTACTCTAATTGTAAAGGATTTTTAAATTTAAAAACATAGTGTTCTAACGTAATAAAAATGCCATACATGTATATGTTTAGAATGCACTTCCTGTAAATGAGGTCCCTTCACCGTTTTCGCCCTACAGCAAACCCTACAGCAAACCCTAAAATGGCACTGAAAAGACATATAGAAAGCAGGTAATTCACTAATAGCTTAATACTTTATTAAAAAATATATATATACTTTAATTTTAGGGTAGCGAACCAAGTGCCAAACGTAAACTGGACAATTCACGACGAAGACCAGTTGTCATAAAAACTTTGACAACGTCATCACTTGCAGAAAAGTATGAACAATTGGTTGACAAAAAGTTGGAGTTATTGAAAGGTTTACAGGTGCTCAGAATTAGGTGCTCAGAATTAGCAGATCGCAAGATCTCCGAAAAGTATAAGCAAGCCCGCATTATCGTAAGTAGTAGTAGTAAGTAATTAACGTAAGTAATGACCATTCACCACCGCTAGCTTCAAATCCGTAACATGCACCAACCACCCCGTTGCACACCTCTTCTCCCCTTTTTAGTTTAATTCTGTATCGATTGTATTTATTAATTAATTTCAATATCATTTGCAAGTCTTATTTTATTAAACGCCAGTCCGGACAAACATGTGTAATAAATACCAAAGCGCCTACAAATAGCCTCGTTATCTTGTCGACGAATTCTCGTAAACAACCATTTACCTGTTCTTAAGGTTTGGTTATATTAATGTTAAGCAGCAATATTCCCGTTTAAGGGCGTTCAGCTAATAGAAGCCTTAATATTGTTTCAATTTTTGATTAACTTAGCATGCAATTTTTGATTATCTTAGCAATTATTAACGATTAGCGAGTAGGGATTTTGGCTATACGGGGCGTTGTTTATTTTGTTTATGTTATTTCGAAGTGTGTTTTCTTTTAATAAATAAACCTTTTGTCTTTTAACTGTGTTTAACTGTGGCTTTTTCCTTTCTTCACTCTATAAAAGCTACCCTAGCTGTGGGGCCATCACCACGTAAATCCTGATGGCTGGCGCCCGAAAAAACGGCCGAAAGCCCGTTCAAGTCCGAACATGCTAGGCTACCGGCATTAAACTCTAATTTGAAAGGTAAGTTCACCGAACAACGTTTTTTATTTGATTTTATTTTTCCCAGAACGCCATTACAAAAATGGCGCCCGAGCACGGACCTCAAGGCGTATGTCGCAGAATTTAGCACATCCTTGATTATCATTGTTAATGAACATTTTTTCTAATTAAACCAGGGAGAGGGGGCACCACAACCCGTAGCACCCTATCACTATTACCTACCGCGTATTTACTGTCGTTGAATTAGTTGTCATCCGGAGATTTTTTTTGTTTTTAATTTTTTATCACCTTGAATTTCGAATTAAATCCTGCATGATATCAACAATTTCAGTTAAGTCATTTAAATCAACCGTGATGCTACTTAAACTTTTCGTCAAGGGTTGTCATATGGGTAGCATATTGCTGACACCCTTATCTCACTGAATTTCTTCCGGACCGCGGAATTGCGTATTATCTCTCTGTATTTAAAATCGGATTCTCAGGTAGGCAAATAGAGACCAACTGTTGGCGTGCAATCCGAGTACGCAATGGGCTGTAGAACCGACTGAAACCGTTCACCGTTATTCTACAGCACAGGCTCAAATTTTCCAAATAAACCTGAAACTTAAGTGGGAACATAGAGATCAACCGTTGGCGGGCCAATTGCCTGCCGTGCATTGGTACGCAGTGGGCTGTAAAACCGCTTCGAACCCCTCGCCGCTGGGGGTGGTTGTTCTACAGCACGGGTTCAAATGTTCCAACGAAATCTGAGACTTAAGTGGAAACTTGGAAAGCAACCGTTGTGTTATCCAAGTGCCGCGACAAACAATGGGCTGTAGGACCGCCTGGAACCCCCCGTCGTTGGGGGTCGTTGCCCTACAGCACGAGCTCAAAGTTTCTCAGTAAAGAAGAGAGGAAGGGAGCTACAGCCGATCCCCCACCACCACAACAAGTATAAACCCGAGACACTCAACCGAGAAAGGAGACTTCTAGCCCGAAGCCGGACCTGACCAGACGGCCTGCCCCTAAAAGCGAAAACCTGACCAGAATTAATTTAACCCACCTGCATCGATTTTTCTTTTGGTTTTCAGCGGCACTTGTATCAAACTTTTGCCTGCATTTATTTTCATCCTGTCAAAATAGACAATTTTGACTAGATGCAAGAACTTAAGACTTGTACCAAAATTTATTTTCATCGCCATTAATTTTTCACCCACATTGCCTCTCTCTTGCATATAGAGCATCCATCCGCTCTGAATCACTTTCTACACCGAGTTTCACCTGTGTTGATTGTTTATTGCATTCCTTTGACCAACCATGTAGAATAAAGCCGAGAAACAATGTGTTTAGTTTAGTCAACTTGTGAGTTAAATTGGCAGAAATTTGCTCAACCGCTGAGCCCGGGGCGCTGAAATTTGCCGGTTTATTAATAATTATCCCACCGTCACACCCATTGTCCGAAGCGCAAAAGTCGCCAATAGTGGCGTGACTACCATATCCGAAGTTTACCAGATTCCACTAATGCTGGGAAACAGGACGTTGATGGAGAGAATAAATTATTTTCCGCAATTAACATCGGATATTGCGCTCGGTATGAATATTCTAACCCGAAACCGGTTTCGTCTAGAGCTGGACACGAGACGTTTTCCTGGATTACCAGCTTATATCACCGCCCACGCCATGTAGCCCGATTGGACCGATAACGGACGCTGAACCCAGTCTAACAGACAATTCCTGGACCACGAATTGGCACAGTTGGACCCGATCCACGGCACAACCCCTTTGGTGAAACATCACATCAATTAATTGAAATCGGAACCCATGAAACGGGGAGACCAACCACAGAATCCCCGAATGCAAGAGATCATAAACACAGAGGTCAGGACGATGTTAGCCGAAGGAATTATATAGGAGTGGCATCGTAGTACCGTCGATTTGTCCCGAATTCCTCACAGACCGCCAGTCTTCTAAACAAGTTACTTAAGAGGAATATTTGTTGGACCTGGACGAGATCCAAACAGACCGCCTTTGAAGCGTTAAAAACGAGCCTCACGGAGGCCCCAGTGCTGGCTTGTCCCTACTTTTCCAGACCTTTCGTGTCGCAGACCAATGCGTCCGATAGTGGACTATGTGCAGCATTGATCCAGCACAATAGCAATTGCGACCATATCATTGCCTACGCCAGTCGTACTTTGAGCCCAAGTGAAAAAAACTTTTCAGTAACCGAATAGGAATCCCTGGCCATCGTTTGGGGAGTGAAGAAATTGCGACCGTACATAGAAGGCTACCATTTCACCGTTGTTACCGACAACCAAAGTTTAACTTGGTTGCACTCCATAAAAAGCCCGTCCGGTCGATTAGCTCGGTGGAGCATCTATCTCCAACAGTTTGATTTCGAGATGAAGTACCGAGATGACGGATCCCTGAAAACTGTGTGTACCCAAAAGTGCCAGAGCCGCCATTTTGCAGGAGAACTACGAGTCTCCAATGGCCGGTCACCAAGGCATCGCCAAGACAACGGCAAGGATAATGCCGCCAGTACTACTGGCCAGGCATGATGCGAGATATTGTCCGACATGTAAAGACCTATTTATCTTGTCAATGGTACAAGCCATCACAACAGAAAGCTCCAGAAAAGATGCAACCCTCCCGAAACCACCGGCCGTGCGAAACCGTTACCACCGACCTGATCCGACCACTGCCCCGATCCTCGAAGGCAATAACTGGCTCGTTATATTCCAAGACCGATTTACTAACTGGGTAGAATGCAAGCCCATCCGTCAAGCTACCTCCAGAGCAGTATCACAGGCCCTGTATGACCAGATAGTCACAAAATTCGGGTGCCTTCACACCGTCCTGCCCGATAATGGCACTCAATACACCGGATGACCGTTTAAAGGGCTTCTACGGGATATGGAAATCAGTCAGCGTCTGACCCCAGACTACACTCCGCAGGCCAATCGAGCAGAACGCACTAACAAAACGATTAAAGTCATGATTGCCAATTTTGCGACGAAAATGGGATGCCTAGCATTTTTTTTCTATACTCAATTTTGAAACCCCCAGGAACCATGAACGAGATGTCCCCGACATCCCCGGCTCCCGAGAGCTCCAGCTGCTGGAATTAGCCAGAGCAGCAAAAGGTACACTGCGTTCTCGACTCCCGACGGTGCCAGCTATCAGTTCACAATCATGCCGTTCGGCCTAAAGAACGCGCCATTCACGTTCCAGAAACTAATGACCGCCGAAGGCCTGGTCGGCCTAATAGGCAAGACGGTGGAAGTGTATATGGACGACATTATTGTACACAGCCTGCTGGACCTCCGAGTGGTCCTAGAACGACTGCAAAACCACTACCTAAAGGTATCCGCAGCTAAGTGTCAGCTGATGGCTGTTGACCTAGACTACTTGGGCTACCCAATCCACAGTGATTTAGTGGAGGTACAGCCGAAACATCTACTACAAATACATAAATTTCCGAGGCCCAAGAACCTACCACAGCTCCAAAGTTTTTTGGGGATCTGCAATTGACTCAAAAATTCGAAAGAAGTTTATGTGGACCCCCGCCGCCGAACAGGCTTTTGAGAGGACCAAGACCGCAGTGGCAACAGCTCAGCCTCTTGGAAGGCCCGATCACTCCAAGCCCTTCATCCTCGATCGGAATGTCAGCGTCCTGTACCAGGAAGAAGACGCCAGTGCGAAGCTTATCGCCAATTATTGAGCAAGCGCTCAATAATCTCCCACGCCAGTGCGAAGTTCACAAGGGCCGAACAAAAGTAGGGCCGAACAAAAGTACCACATTAACGAGCAGGAATGTATCGGCCTCATCTGGGCCATCGGCCTGTACAAGGGCTACCTGGAAGACAACATCATCCGGAAATACTCCCCATGTGTTGACCCTCACCGCCGGAGGACTTTTCCACGCTATCGTAGAGGGACAGGGAAAAATGCGACATATTAGAAGAACCATCGCAAACTGAACACTCATGGCCAACTTCACTGAATTCTCGCTTGCCCAACAGAAACTGATTAAAAAGTTTACTACCTACGAGAGCCTCCCATGAAGGAGACAGCTTGGTGGTACCTCGACAGCTGGTGCCCAATTACTACGGTGGCTGGGCCAATTTACCACCTTGCGCATGACTTAAAGAAATGTGGACAGACTGTAGTGAAGAAACATGAACTCTCCAACATCGAAATCCATGTACTTTTAACCGTTTAGTTGATTTATCATAGTGCCAATCAACACATTTAGGGTGGCATCCTTCTACTATTGACTTTTTATTCACTGATTAGTGCACTACGGTTGTGGAACTACAGCAATGGTGTTATAGGCCCTCTAACAGTGTTAAAACCTTATCAAATAATTTCTTACAATATAAGGCAGCGGAGTTCAAAATTGGCTCTGCCCAACCAAATCTATATCATCTCAAATCCAGAAAACAATATTTACTCTCTAAGAGCACACTGCTGCAGCAGATAACATAGACGTAATGGTAATAATTTCGGCTTTGAAGAGGACACAAAACGTTAGGTCAGAACATATTGGAGACTACCTTACTTGATGTTCACACAATTATTGTATCGAAGATGTGGTGATATCGACTAATGATAGTCTCCTTAGTGGAATTCTTCCAGAAAGGTATTTACTAAAGGATTTATAACAGGACGTACCGCAAAAAACTTTATACGCAGATTGTTATGAAATAATTATCCGTGGACCACTTGGAAATATTATTTCGTAGCAGGAACTGGAAGACCAAAACTTTTGACAGTCAAAAAGTTTCTAGTCTATATTGACTTGACATTTAGACAAAAGTTGTTACTGAGAACACATAGATTCGGATGTTTAACTTACAGCCACAACAAAACGACAAAATAGGAATACAAATACAATTTACTGGACAATCTGACCTTCCCATCATTGCAAGAAATGTGTAAAACCTTTGAAGGTGTTGAGCACTTGCTTTTGTTGTTTAATTGAACTATCCTTCCTGAAGACTCAGGTTCTGCATAAACTTCATTGAAAACAGAACACAGTAATCGAAGGTACCCTTTACGACCATTTTACGTCGAGCATATCAAGGCTCCCTCGCACATAGCTTATAGAAATAAAACACAGTAAAACAGGCTTATTCCGGTATAAAATAAGCCTATTTAAAAAGCCGCATACATTTATTCAATTTGAATGAGATAATACCAAATATATTCGCTATAAGTAACTCACAGTCAGTTCTTGTCAAATGACACCTGCAAGATGTGGAAGATCGTTGGGTTTTAATAACCCTTTTGGCAGATATCCAACCAGGTTTTTAACATGTGTTTTAAGTAGACGTATACGCTCTTCCTCGATGATTTTATTTCTGAAAGCAAAAATTCTTATACATTTCTGATATGTACATTGAGACCACCAACAGACCTATTTTTCATTTGCTGATCTTCTTGCTCCTTGAGCCTAATCAAGCGTTGCATTTCTTCAGCTCGTTGTTGCCTTCTATCAATCATCATTTGTTCAATATCTCTTCGCAACTGCAACATTTTCATACGCTTTTTCTGAGCTGACATTTGTTCTAATTTTTCATCTTCTGCGAGTTTATCCAACAACTACAAATACATATTGTTACAGGGGTTCAAGCAATGCAAATGCGCCTAAAATATATAAATACAAAAAATAAATAAATAACAAACTAACAATTTTTCGATCTGTTAAGTAGATTAAATTAAGTTACTTATTAATACACGTGTATATTAGTATATTACATAATTAGAGTTGTAAGGAGCACCTCGCGGCATTGTGCGTAATTCCATGCGTACGTAATTGTAACCCGCAATAACATACTAAAACTGAAAGAAATTAACGCGATTAAAAAGTTGACAGCAGCCCAGAATAACAAATTAAAACGTCATACGTTCATAAACAAATATTCAATCAGGAACATTTTCCCGTAAAGTTTTAATGTTGTTTGCGGACGAAATATCGGCTTCGATTTTCTAAATCTCTCAGCCACCGCTTTTGTTGACCATCCCTCCTCGATTAATGTAATTATTTCAGTTTTCTCAAATACTTTTGAATGTGTCATTTTGATAATAGGAAAATGTATGTCAGTATTATGCCATTTACGTAAAGGTAGATCGATGTAGAAAGTCATATTTACACAACAACTATTTAATCGTCCACTTTTATGTGACGCCGACTGTACCACTTTTCACAATTTTTTAAAATAAATGATCGGATGTTAATTTTCCCATGTGCCCAAGTTCATTTTGGCGGCTGCAGGCAATTAAATGTTGGTAACATGCATCTGTAGAACGAAAATATCAAGATAACTCAATTTTATCAGACGTCATTACTGCATTGGTGTAATAAATCTTCTTCTATGAGTTGATTTTAACAAAATAATATTTATTGTGTGCAAATAAAATAAAAGCAAACCCATTATATTAACTGATATTATGACGAATGAGCCACAACACTGTTGGTATTGTTTTACACTCGCCATAATATGAAAAATTCTGTATTTAACTTGCAGTTATTCGGAATCATAAAAAAAAAAATGGAGCGTCTTCATGTTATCAAGCTGCCAGTGCAAAATGTCATTACAAATTTGTTTTAGAGTAAAAAACTTTCAAAAAGAAACAATTAATTGCACGTTAATGTATGCAAAAAGGTTACCAAACGTATTGTCCTTTGTTACACAGTAAATTTGTGCTGCTAATATACAACAGGATGTTCGGATAATGCGTTAGAAAATTTTTAAGGGTGATTCTACATTCTAAAATAATGGTAGTAAGTCATGTAAAAAAAATTCGAAATTTGAATGTTTCCCAAGTTACAGCTCATCAAACTTCTTTAGTGGTAATGGCAACTGCGCGAAAAATTTGGACTGGCGACCAAGAGCTACTATGTGGCTTCCTATGCTTTGTGTTGGAAATTGGTGAATTCATAGGATGGAAACGATATTTTCTCGAAAAGTGTATAGCAAAATGTTGTTTGTTATGAAATTTTCTAAAAGGTGAGCATAGTCTCAATCTCAATCAAATAATTACCTACTTGTCTAATTGGCATACCTTATCGGAACTATCGGATATTAAAAGCAAAGCAAAAGAAAAATACCAATTGATTTCACTTACTTGCTGCTTATATTTTCCATCTTCTATTGCCTCTTGTCGACATCTATCTTCCTTCTCTTTCAACTGTTCTGTCAACGATTCTCGCACTTCGATTCGTTGTCGGATCTGTTTTTCGATTTCTTCCCTATGTCTTCGCTCTAATGCTTCTTTTTGCTCTTCAACCATTAACTCTTGTAGGATATCTTCCCGCTCTTTTTTTCTGATCTGAAACCAAAATAAACAATGTAGACATCATTATATCGGGTCTACTGCATAAAAAACACTATATAATTTTTTAATTTATTTTAGCGGTCGATAGCTATTTTGTTAGAAATAATGATTTTTGCAGTTGGATTTAGTGTAAAATAAATCCATTAAGTATCAGCCAATCGCAAATCAATCGGCAGTTGTTTAATTATAACCAAATAGCACATTTATTAGTCAAGAAGCAAAACTGTAACTAATTAATATAAGAGTAAGAAAACTAAAAGAAGCAACATGTTGCTATCGAACAAACAGACAATAACTTATATTTCCTACTTTAATGGTAAAATACGTTTTAACCAAAAGCAAGAACTGAATTGATTTACAGCTTCAGCTGCCTGAACAATGAGCACATATAGTGCGCCCATTTTCGAATATTTTAAACCTGATCATTACTGATTAATAGGCATCATAGTAATTTTTGATATATTTCGTTAATATACCGTGTTCCGAAAACGCTTAGTTTCCGAACTAGAGAGTGATAAAGTTTTAATAAAAAAATACTACTTATTAATATTGCGGAAACCGCTTGGAATATTTAAACGAAATTTTACAGGCTTAGGCTCTTAACAACAATACATGTATTGTGATGAAAATTTTGTTTCTAGCTTTTCCAGTGGCGTGGGCACAGACACGACAAATGTTACGCTACTGATTTGTTAAGCAATAAACCTGATGATTTCAATTCCTGTTTAATTTGGTCTCATGACTTTTTTTCTACGACGTCCCGTATTCGAGTAAATAAATTAAAATCTATTTATTGCATAGCTTAATCGGATTGTAATTAAGTAGGGTTTACTATAAAAACAAAAATTGTGCACTTATCAAACTATACTTTGCGCAAAATCAATTTGATTACAAAAAAACGCAAAAAGAAGTTACTCAGACACAGCAATTTTTTTTTTCAATCAGTGACCATAACTAGTTCAGAGCCAACTTTTTAAATAAAAACCCGATTACGCTGGGCAATAAATCGATTTTTTTACGCAATTTACGCAAAGACGGTGCGTTGTAAAGAAAAAAAGTCAAGAGACCTTTTGAACAGCAACTTCAAAAATAATATTTATTTTTAAAAAAATCATAGGCGTAACATTTTTTATTTAAAATTATCTACAGACGTGCCTGTGCCCACACCACTGGCAAAGCTAAAAACAAATTTTCTACCACAAAACATTTATTGCTGTCAAGGGCCTGAGTCTATAAAATTTCATTAAAATATTCCAAGGGGTTTCCGCAATATTAAAAAATATATATATTTTTTAATTAATGCTTTAACACGCTGTAGATGAGAGGCTAAGAGTTTTCGGAATATAATCTATTAAAGAAATATATCCAAAATTACGTGCACTATCACCTCCTACAAGGAATGGATCTACTTACCACATACATATATATATATCGAACAAAACGAACATTTTTATATAGACTACTCAGAATGGATATCTGACTTTATTTTTCATTGATTATCCTTTTCTGCTTGCATATAAAAGCCTACATATCTAGGTATACGCATTTAATTTGATGTTGACTGGCATACATTTAACATTGTATGTGGCATGCTCGCGATAAATAACATATTTTGTTTTTTTATTTAAAGACTATTTAGTCATTGCAAATATTACTTGCTTGGGATTGAATATGAAATTGAAGTTAGTAATTTTCATAAATCTTCATGAATTAACAAATCGTGTAATAAAGTGTGTAATTTCTTGTTTAACACATTCTGGGAAAGCGTTTCCGACAGCTACGTTATCATAAGGGCCGCTAAAAATATAAGTTAAGAACAACACAAAAAAGCAAGAAACAATAAACCACTTACTCGTCAACATCACACAAGTAACGTCCACGCAGAGCACCAAAAACTCTAGGCAATAAAACGTCAAGACAAGGATAAAAGATTCACAAATGTCTGAAATCAACTGAAGGTCATCTTTGTCTGTATTTTTCACTGCTCAGCACGACTAGTGAAAAGAGCGGGGAAGGGCAAGCAATAGGCCAAAAATGTTAAGAATTTTAGGATTTATGCAATTTTTGATGCTTTGCTTGGACAGCAACAGAGCCGGCCTACTCCAGGATATACTTAAATTAACAACAACAAAACAAACAGCTTATAGTGTAAATCATAAACAAACAATAAAACAAATTTTCTAAATAAAGTCCAATCTAAAAACTGAATTTGAAAGGTGAAAGTTATGTGATAAAAATATAAGGAAAATTACAATTAAAAATTAAATTAAATTCAGCGTTAAAAAACAGTGCCTAAAAGCGCTAGGCCCTAATCTGTTAAATATGGAATAACACACTTTACCCCCACTGCAGGGGGGGTGGCAGGCTTTAGAACGTTATCATAATTTTTTTAATATAAAAATTTTACATTTTCTTCTGTATTGCCCAAAATTTTTATTTTCTCTCGAATTTTATCTCAAATAACGGTGGGACCGTTATTTGAGATATTTCGCATTGGAATTTCTGACGATTTTTTGAACTAACTCAAAATTTCCCAAATTTTCAATAAAAGAAAACTTAACAAACATTGAACAGTATTTATTAAGGCACATTAACTTTAAACAACTTTTTAAACTATTGTTTTTTAAGTTTTTGAAAATTATTATTTCACAGTAATTGTTGAAAATTCAATCCTTTAACTTCACTTTATTCTCAATTAATTTATTAACCCTTTTAGTAAAAGGTTAAAGTATTAAAACATGCATTTTTGTTTCTAGTGTTCTACAGCATTTAAAACTGTCTGCCACAATTATTTCCTGCTGCTAATCGGATCTTTATAAACTATGGATTTCATATAACCCCAAAAACAGAAGTGCATTGGGTTAAAATCAGGGCTCGGGCAGGGCATGGTTTAAAGCAACGATTCTGTCGACCCAATAGGGATAATAATCTGGTTAATAATTGACGGAAAACCAATTATAATTGACTCGTCTAATTTTGACGAAATTCATGTGGATCTATCAGATAATTTAGTTTGATTCCGCGCCAAATATTAACTTTGAATTCATGTGGATTTTTAGTCTCAATGGTGTTTATGTAAAAAGTTGTAAGTACACATTAAACAGCAGTTGATTTAAAAATTTAATTAAGATAGCAAAATGCGTTCTAGCATGAAACTTGTGTTCAGTGAAAAAATAAAGGAATAAAACGACTCTTTCATTCTCACGATTTTTCAAGATTTTGAGGGCATTTTTGGGGGATTTTAATATAATTTATAATTGAGATGGCAACAAAGAACTACAATTTAAGTAACAAAAAATTGGAGTTCTCGATCTAAAAAAAATCACAAAAACAATGTTTTTTATTTTATTTACAGTTTCGACACCCTGTATCTCGGGAACTTAATTTTCGGTTAAAATAAATTAACCCGAAACGCCATATTTTGCGTAGGCAATCAGAGAACTTTGTTACATTTGATTAGGACTACCATGTATATTATCACATATTTAATAAACGCGATTTTGTCTGATTCTGAAAATATACAGGGTGTTCCGATAATACGTTAGGAAATGTTTAAGAGTGATTCGACATTACCTGTAATAGTATTATTAGTCAGTGAATCAGGTAACAAAAATTTTAAATTTGTGTAAATTAAAATGGATTGAGAATATTTAAATGTTGCATTCAAATGCAGCACAAAAATTTAGTCTAAATTGAACAGTAATGCAATAATTACAATCAATTGTCAAATTTGGCACATTTTAAAACTAGACGACGCGCGAAGAGCACATTTTTGGTCCAGTAATTGACAAATTTTTAAAATAAAATATTTCCTTTTGCGACATTTGGCGTGTCAAAAAAGTTATGCGGAAAATGAAATGTCGATTTCAGGTAAAGTACCATCTAGTGGCAAACTGAAGAAACAATTTTTTATCAAAAATTTATAGTTCACTAAACTGAAAATTAATTTAATAATAAATTGAAATATTCGTTACATTTTTGTATATTTTTATTTCAATTAGCTCACAGCCCATAAACTTTAATTATTGTAAATTAAATTAAAATAATAAAAAAATAAATTTTAAAGTTAACTCGTCAGTCATCCCTATTTTAACTTCCACTTGCACTTCAAGCTTTCACAACAAAATATTGAACAAAAAGACACAAAAAAATTATAAAAAAAATACCAGAAACCCTACATGGACTTATGTTTGTGCAAATTACTGGAAAAAGACGGCAGAGACGAAAAAACTGCAAGGATAAATAAATTCTTAAATTGAACAACAAATTCAAAAATTTGTCAGTGGCGCACCACAAAAAAGTTCGGGACGGTAAAAGGGTGTAAATTTAATTGTATGTTTTGATAAAAATACAACTTTTCTAATTTAAAATTACTATTGTCTATCAGAAAAATGTATTTTATAAAAATTGCATTTCACATTAAATTATGATTCTGTAATATCATTATTAAGTAAAATATAATCCCAATTTTTTTTTCGTTCGTGATTATAGCGCCTATAGTTATGCCGTTTGTTGAACAGTAGTAACAAACAACATGCTTGATCAATCATTTAGTTTTGCTTTCTTACGTATTGCAATTTTTCATAACCAGCAAACCGAATGGTGTCAAAAAAATATTATTTTAAAATCCTGAGCAAAACTGTCAGAAAAATAACTGTCATAAAACAACTAATTTCTGAAATAACAACTATATTTTTTATTTTTATACCCGACTTTCAATACTTCGTGATGACGACAGAAACTCCAGCAAATCCAAATTTCTTAAATGTATTTAAAGTTATCAGCAGTGCCAAAAAGGGGTTTTTGAGAAAAAAAGTCAACAGAGCGCGAAGGGAAAATGTAGCGCGAGGTAAAGATAACGTTCTAATAATAAGCTCATATGGCTAAATTAATTAAAAATGTAGGTATGGCCGGTCAACTAGACCTGTCTATGGACTCAATGGAAGAGACTAGATTTAAAAAACGAAACCAATATTTAATACAAAGACTAGAGAAGAGACTGCATTTTACATATGCAGAGATTGAATGCCTTTTGCTAATATATTATAAGTTGTGGAAAGAAGGTTTAGTAAATAATCCCTCCCAAGTAAGAGAGCAGGAAAAATTAACAGTGCAATACGTGCCATTCAAACCAATTCGATGGTGCAGATGAATCTGTGTACTATTTTAGGAAGGAGTAACCAAAGTGCAATTTAGAGATGTTCTCCACTGTGCACTAGATATGACCGACGATAGTCTAATGGACAGAGTGTTTCTGGCTCTAGATAAAGGTCCCAGTTCGTGCATATCTATGGAAACTTGGGCAACGGCGTTTTCACTATTCTTGCGAGGGACCATTGAGGAAAAAATTCAATTCTGCTTTTCGGTAAGTATTTTTTTTACTTAAACTTGATAAAACATCCACATCGCATTCCAAAATGAACTCGTACATTCGTCATTTTGATATTTCCTTTTGGTTTTAGATCTACGACATTATGGGAGATGGAATATTGGCACGCGATAGTATATTTCAACTGCTAAGGACATCGCTTGTGAGCCAAAGTGGCGAAGAAGACGCCGAGGAATCAGCACGAGTAATATTTTTTCTTTAAAAAATTTACGTGTTTTCAAGACGTTGCGTTTCAAAGACGATTTCAAATCGATTCAACAAAAATTATGACTCTTAGAAAACCTATCGAATTCGACTTATTCTCCTACATTTACATTACAACATGTTTTTAGGATATGATTGAAGTAATAACTAAAAAAATGGACATTGATCGTGATGGCAAAATATCATATGCAGACTATAAACAATCAGTTCTGAAAAACCCCATGCTTCTAGAAGCGTTTGGCCAGTGCTTACCATCCCGCCAAGCAATATTTTCCTATCTGACAACGTTTACCAGCACGGGATCAACTATGTAGCGAACATTTAAATAAACATAATAAACGAAACTAACATCAACTGTAGTACTTTCCAGGATGGAGGAGAGTGGATATGGTTAAAGAGTCTAAACTGCTACGGAATGCACGTACTTTATCTTTAATGTCTCAACTACTATTGTTCTACATTCACCTAGCCAAGCCCCGGGTCAATCCTCCTAAAAATATTGCTTAGTTGCACTGTTTATACAGATATGCAATTAACCTACTTAATTACTAATAATAATATATTACAGACTACAGACAGTTATTTTAATATCCAGTAAATATGATAAACTTACCGTTTGTGCATAAATCTGTTTGGCCAGATCTTCCTGAATCTTAGCTTTGACTTCTTCTTTGCGTTTGTGTTCTTCAAACCTAGAGATAAATGCATCTTGCGTTGTTAGTTGTACGAAACAATTAAACGCATTTAAGTGGGCAAACAATGAACAATTTTTCTTGGGTTTGCAGGTTTTTTTTATGAATTTTTAGTCTTTCAATTCCATTACTAAGTTTTTCTCGAATTTGCCTATTTACAATATATCACTTCATTCTTATAATTCTGATTTAAATTAAGTCACCGATACCATTTAGTTACTATTTCAAAAAGTTGTTTTACATTTACTTAATTGAATGAGCAGAAGAACCCATCAGCTTGGCCAAAATTGTTATATTCTGTACGGGGGCCGTCCGATAACTACTTAGCCTCTCCGCCCGACGGCGCCACTATCGCAAAACAATTTACTATAGTATAGTACATTCTCGTAACCGGTGACTCTGAAAATTTTTGTTAATTTGTTAAGAATCAAGGATTAATTCCACGCACTGGTTCATAGGGTTTCACTCGATTTAATCTTCTTGTTAAGCCATCGTTGTTCAAGAGCTGGATGGCCTCAACGTTGATGTGATTTTGTAGTCTTTGTTCATGACTTTTTTTACAATTTTTAATGACATTGTCCACTGTTTGCACATTTAGGTCTTTATGGAGGTTGTCATTCCGGATGTACCATGGCGTACCTACGTTGCCGCGTAGAACTTTATTTTGATAACGTTGTATATCATCTCTGTTGCTTTGGCTGGTACAACCCCAGAGTTGACTACCATAAGTCCACACCGGCTTGAGGACTTGTTGATACAGCAAGAGCTTACTATACACTGACAGGGCAGAATTACGACCCAATAGCCAGTACATTGGACGGTATTTTAAATTTAATTATTCTTGTTTTTTTTCTCGAGGTGGGCCTTCCACCTAAGTTTAGCATCCAGCGTCATGCTTTATTATTATTAATTATTAATTTCGCTGTATTTTGGTATGGAACAATTTAATTGTTGATATTAACTGGTTTGTATTCAACTTTCTTATTGGTGAACTCAATGTGTACAGATTTCGATTCATTCAATTTGATTCGCCATTTTTTAGTCCAGCGCTGTATGTCATCAATGGCGGTTTGTAGTTTTTCTGTGGACTCGGTATTGTTGTCTCCAAGTGCTATGATAACAGTATGATCTGCAAATGTGGCAACCATATTTTGTACGGAAATAGGAAGATCACTGGTGTACAGGAGATAAAGCAAAAGTCTTAGTACACCCTGCGGCACTCCTGCTTGTATTTTCTTTAATTCCGAGTATTCATCATCTTGATTTATCCGAAAATACCTTTCAGTTATGTATGACAGTAACAGCGTTGAATATTGGATAGGTAGGAACAGTTGAAGTTTGTGTCATGGGCGGTGCATTCATGCCAGACCCTGTCGAAGGCCTGGGAAACGTCCAAGAATATTGTAGAACATACTTTTCCTTCTAGTGTTTTCTCGATAACACTCATTCGATGAACCTGGTCAATTGTGGAGTGCTGACTCCGGAACCCAAATTCAAGTGGTGGGATGAGGTTTTTTGTTTCTATAATTGGTGATTGGTGTTATTCTCTTTAAAAGGAGTTTTTCATAAAGTTTCGACATAGTCGGTAAAGGTTATATGGGTCTATACGATGATGCTTTGTGGGGTGGCTTACTACACATAGGTACTATGATAACTTCAGCAACCTTCCACAATTGGGGAACATATTTTAGTCGAAGCGATGCGTTTATCAAGTTAATAAGTTTCACTAGACCTTTCCTCGGTAGTTCCTTGAGGATCTGACCAGTGATTAAGTCAAATCCAGTAGCCTCCTTTGGATTTATGTTTTCTTTGATTTCTCTTTTTATCTCCGCTACTGTGGTTAATCTCTTCACTTTCTTGGTTATCTATAGTGGGTAGAGCCGCAGTACTGTCTGTTGGATTTGGTTGAAAGATTTTATCAAGGTGCTCGGAAAATCTAAATGCTTTCTGCGCATTATTTCTGGACCAGCTGCGGTCCATGTTTTTGATGGGAGGTATTGGCATTATGGGATTTTTTAAACTTGTTGTTTCCATAGTGAATAATCAGTATTGGCATCATTTATTAATTTATTCAAATATTCCCTAATGGTGTCATTATTAAGCTGCTTAATTTCTTCTTTTAATTGAGCGGTGAAATTGTTTAAAATAGTTTTATCTTGCGAGGATCTGGTCTGTTGCCATTTTTTCCTTTCGCTTTTCTTTTTCTGACTCTTAATATAGGACTTATACTGTTATTTCTGCTGTCTTGCCTCAGTTGATCCTGATGTCCAACTTTCATATCACCTCTTGAGTGGCTGGCCTGTGGGACTTCTACTTTGTGGTATGTTATTACCTTTCAATTTCCTTCTGATTTCGGGGGGTTATTCCATGAAGATTCTTGGATGTCATTGACGAATTTCTCCACTTCAGTATTCAATAGTTCCTCAGTTTTGTAGTGAGGTTCCTAATTTCATGTTTTCTTCTAAGATTAACCTAAAGCCCTCTTAATCTGTTTTTTATTGACTAGCATGGAATTGCAGGACTTTTCGACGATATTTTCACTTAAGGTTAAAACTATTGGGTTATGGTCTGAAATTAGCTCCAAGTTGTCTTCTAGTTGCCTGGGTGCCGCGTTTGCTCGCTCCGTACAAGTGGAACCGTGAGCCCACTTCAGAGCAGTATTTGATTCTGTCAAAGCGCAATCCGAGTGTGTTTCTGCGTCGTTTCGTGACGTCGCCTTACCAAGGGACAGTTGAAACAGTGGACTTTACCCGGCAAACGTGCTCCGAAGAAGGCGAAAACTACAATCGGCCGGAAAGGTGATGGCCACCATCGTTTGGGACGCACAAGATTGATCTACATCGACTACCTGGAGAAAGGAAAAACTATCACAGGGCTCATCCATACCGAATTATTGGACCGATTCGAGGTCAAATTGCAGAAAAACCAGTCCCATTTGGCGTAGAAAAAAATGCTCTTCCACCATGACAACTCACCGGATCACACCAAAATTTTAAGTCACTCGCCGGGCAGAAATTTCAGTCGAATGACCAAGACCTCAAAAAAGGTATTTTCAGATGAGTTAAAGAAGTTGGAGCATCGCTGGTTCAAGTGCGTAGAAATAAATTGCCACTTTTCCAAAATTTTTGGTTTTTTTAGGCTTAGTACTTATCGGACCGCTATCGGACTAGTGACCATTCGGTTCCGGTAAGGAGTACCGTAAAATGGCGCTAATAGAAGCTGCAGGGCCAATCGAAACAAAATGTCAGGTTTTTTTCAAACTTCATAATATCATAATGGATCGCCATATTGAGACAAAGTGACATGATTTAATTTTCTCATTAGTTTAATCCGAATCCCGTTTAAAATAGCAAGTTCGATTCACTTTTGACTCTATTTTCGCAATTTATTTAGTTGTTCCTTAAAATTATCACCTATTTTGTTATAATTTACAGCCAGTTCAATGTATTTTTCAGTATGTTTTTCAGTTTATTAAAATTATCATTAATAATTCGTTTAGAGACTAATGGTGTTTTGATGTCAACCTAAACCTAAAAAGTTATTTCAAAAATGCAAGTAATTAAATATACATTTTCCGATTTAATATATGAGAGTATAAAAAATACAAGATAGTGTTAAAATAGATAATGTGGTAAACGGATGTAACATATTAATCTATCCAAGTTTGGAGTAAATATTGTTGCGTCCGAAAGAACAAAAATAATTGCTGCTATAAATAGTACTCTACATAGTATTCTACATTCATACGTTCGTATCATTTTGTCGTTCGATGCAGACATAAAGAAATATACGAATATATGTAAACAAATGATTTGTTCTTAAAAATGTGCAGACCTACCTTGCAGTTGAATCAGCACTCTTCTTTTGCAAAAATTCTTGAATTCTAATATTTTCCTCTTCAATATCTTGTTTTTTCTTTCGCTTCCATGCTTCCTGAGCTGCTTTAAACGCCATCATTTCCTCCCTCGTCTTCTGCATCTAAATAAAGAAAAACATCATATATTTGATCAGTGCGTCCATAGGCACAATGCAAATAAGCCTACTACTAACTATGAATTGTCAGTCAGGTCAATACATTTTTATACGCTGAGATCTTTTTAAGATAAGTTAAGATAGGAAAAAATAGTCTAAACCCACGACAAATGGAAAATATTGGATCGATCATATTCAGAAATGTCAAAGTTTATTAATCTAGTCTTTCGGAAAATTTAGTTAGTTGTTTCCTCCAAGGAAAAGTTGTACTACACTACACTTACCTTACTAGTACTACACTTACCTTGCACATTCTTTCATGTATTTCTCTTTCATCTTCGTCGTGAATTCTTTGAATAATGTCATCGATCATTTTCTTTTCTCTCAAAAACTCTTCGTATAAATAACGCTTAGATTCTTCTCCTAAAATGATTTGATCTTGAAGCTCTTTTTTGTATTGAGCTTTTTTGACCATATCTTCCTCAGTTAACATTTTTTTGAATTCTTTCTCACGTATTTGCGCTTCTTGTAAAAGCTCGTGTGTTCTTCTTTCTTGAATCTTAAAATTAATATAGTCTACTAATGAAATCTAGGCACTCGGATAATCCTAATTGATTACAGTGTTTGGTCGTCAGTCAGTTAACTTATTCTTGACAGAAGGAAAAAAAAGATAAATTAAAGAAATATATTTCCTTAATGTTCCGTATTCCAAAAACGCTTAGTTCACGATCTACAAGGATGTACAACAAGATTAGAGATATTTTTGAGTTTTCATCAAAAATTAATTTTTCCCGTTGAATTAGAAATTAAAAATAAAATACAGCAGGGACTTTAATGATTAGAGATACGACCAAACTTGACTGGTATCATACACCAACATTTTTAGAGCGAGATTCCGAAATACTACTCCATCTGCGACTTAAAATAAAGATTAACATAATTAAAATTTAATAAAACAGGAATGACCCGATCCATTCCATAGTTCCACAATAAGAATGCCTGTTGATCTAATTAGAAAACACATACTAAATAACAATTACTAACTGTCCCTTATTCACAAAACTCTAATTCAATACAATTTAGACTAAGTTAACAAAAACCTTATGTTCAGTCATTACCTAAACAAATTGTAAAAATAATATTATTTGATAATATTAAAAATTATTTCTTTAACTACAACACCGTCAAACTACATTTTTGTGCGAAACCCAAAGCTAAAACACCACCTGAATTAAACTCCAACCAAATACTCGGTCCAAGTTGCATTGGTCAAACAAGTTGATATTTAAAACAGACAACCTCAAAGCATAAATGGGACTCAACAACTGCCAACCCTACCGCATTGTTCGAGAGTCAGAAAAAAATAAACCATGAGTTGTTGTGCTGATGTGAAGTTTAGAAGAAATGACACTTAAAATTTAAACGAAGCTTACATCAACCTTCTAATAGATATTAAAAAGTACTAATCGAAAAAATTAGATCCTCCAATAAAAAATAAAAATAATCCGATAGAAAATAATTAAAATGTTTCTTTATTAGCCAAACATTGCTTAGATTCTTCTTACTCTTACAGGAAGAAAGAACTCGATAGGTCAAATTATATACCGATAGAATGAACATGGAATTGTTTGTGTAATTCAGAGCTTCTACAAATATTTGTACAGCTCACCGACACCAAAACCAGGAACAATAAGATATCAAATTCAAAATGTCGGCTCAGAAGAAATTCCCGAAATAACGAGGGCAGAAATACGAAGGCGCTAAAATAAATGAAGAAAGGAATAGATCCTGAAGAAGAGCGTATGACCGTTGAAAAAAAAAGCGGCGGGGGGGGCACTCTGGAGAAGGCACTTTGTCTCTTGTCGAATAGATGCATCTGCGAGGAAAGAATCCCTAGAAAGAAGCGCTTTGAGGCTACTATTTTGTTTTTCATTTTAACACTCCGTAGATCAAAACCACGGCTCGATTGATTGCATAAGAGATTGAAGATATTAACATTCCAACTCAAATTATTTATTAAGTTTGCTACCTACTACCTGTAGTAAAAGAAATTCGCTTTATAATTAAAATGGACAGTATAAAATACCTTTTCATTCTGTCGTTCAGCTTCTTTTTCTGCAATTTGAGCTGCTAGTTCCTTGTTAACATATGCGGCTTTCAGCTTTCTTTCCAGGTCTCGTAACTCATGAGAATTTTCTCGAAGTTGCTGTCTAAAAGCAATCAGGAAAACTGTTAGTATGGATGATTTCTCTTACTAACGGAGGCTAAATGAAAAAACTGATATTTTTGGGCGCATTGCATTGCAATTTCGAGTGAGTGACTTACAGAATTAATAGTGTACCGTGGATGGCCGAGTATCAAACTCTTTCTTCAGCTTCCAACTTTTATTCCACTCGGTACAACTTTAACTACGGAACAGGAACAAACTAACTTCAGAATTACCGTCAACTTCACAAACAATAACAATAACAGTCGGAGAACTCGATCTTCCGACTCCCGGAGTTTAACCTCTTCTGCACTCCGACGCTGCTGTCACTTCACTCCCCTGTCTGGTTCTCCTCGTCGCTTATATGGTTTTCTCCAGGTAACCCAGATAGTTCTCGAAATCTCCAGAACAGGTGCGAAACTTCCCGCTTGTCAGTTTTAGTCCGCTGTTAGTTTAGCTAGTGTCCTATTAGTTTCTCGAGTTCGTTCATCCATGAGTCGATGTCGTCGCAGGTCTTGTGAATCAGTACTTCGCGATTAGCGTCAAACAGTCGTTCACCCTTCTCCTTGGTGGTTTGTTCCAGAACATCGAACTGATCGGCCAGTTCCTCAATCTTGGCCGCGATTGAGGTTGCAAATTCCGGCTTCTTCTTGGCGAGGTCCCAGTTGAGATGCTCGACGTGCAGCAACTACAGCCACTCTAGGCGCGTTCGAGTTCATCTCTTTTTCAACGCCATCGTAGCGGTGTTTCATGATTTCCACGTCCTCAACGTTTGTTAGTTTACCTTCAACGGTTCCATCCATTTTATCTAGCATTTCGTTCATCACTTTCTTAGTGTCGGCCATTTTGGATGAAATGCTGGATAGCATCTCTTTGTTGTTGTCTTCCATTTTGTCATTCATCTTGCTCATTTCGTCTTTCATCTGCATGAGCAGTGTAATCAAGCTGGGGTTCTCCATTGCAGGGCCTTCCTTCTTTAATTTACTTCTTGTTTCTATCAAAATTCAACTTGGATTCTGGTAAATCCCACTTCTGACTCCAAATGTACCGTGGATGGCCCGATATCAAACTCTTTCTTCAGCTCACAACTTTTATTCCACTCAGTATCGTTTTAAATACGGAACAGGAACAAACTAACTTCAAAATTACCGTCAACTTCACAAACAATAACAATAACAGGCGGAGAACTCGCTCTTCCGACTCCCGGAGTTTAACCTCTTCTGCACTCCGACGCTGCTGTCACTTCACTCCCCTGTCTGGTTCTCCTCGTCGCTTATATGGTTTTCTCCAGGTAACCCAGATAGTTCTCGAAATCTCCAGAACAGGTGCGAAACTTCCCGCTTGTCAATGTCATATTTGGGAGCCCCATTTACTGAAATACCATGAATTTCGATCCCCCATTCCAAACGTGAGTACCCCAGGCCATTTCCGTTACAATAGATAGTTATATACATATACATAATATATATAAATAAACTTCATGCATATAAACTTCATCATGGACAAGATAATAAATAAGGTAAAACTACTAAATATCGGATATAGAATGGACCAGAAATCCGTGGAAATCCTGTGCCATGCGGACGACCCAGTATTGTTGGCAGCGAGTGAGGATGATCTACAGCGACTCCTGCTCAAGTTAGAAATAACAGCAAATAGCCTTAATATACAAATATCGATATAAAAAACGCAATCAACAGTAATCGCGCAAGCACCGAAACTATGTAAACTGGTGGCGAACAACCGAGCAAGTATCGCAATTCAAATATTTAAGCGCCAACATATCACAATATCAATCCTGGTAGGTATCAAGAGAAACATATCAGAAGAAACGAGGGCACAAACAAACAAGGTCGGGCAAATATCTGGGTGCCTAAGAGATGTGATATGAAGACATAAAGTTATGTCACGGTAAAGCAAAGTCCACATTTGCAAAACATGCGTCAGGGAAACATCAAGAACAATACCAACAGTAACTCTGAAGGATATAATGCAGAATCACATTGTAAGAGAGGAACTTGAGGTGGAGGACATAGTGAGGTGCCGGACCGAATAGCAAGATGAGCACGAATTCAAAAACCCAACACGTCCCGAAGAAACCTAGAAGAGCGCTAAAAATGTGGCAAGAGAGGTAGACATCCGGATCACAGGAGGCATAAGATGCAGTATACACAAGAGATATCGCTATTACAAGAGGAAGAAGAAGACATATGAACAGGCCCTCGCGTTTGCGGTTATCATTATGCTCATCTTATGAAAAATCCTTTTACCAACACTTCTCTGCGGTGCTTTTTTGCAAAAATGTAAGTTTTAAATCACTTTTCACTTTCACATTGAATTTTACTACTTTTTATAACATAGCAAAGAATGTCATCAAGGTTTACACTCAGGTGGCTCGGAAGGATATCAATACTTTTTGATACACTGCGCCGCAAATTTAACGCACAGCTTAAATATTTTCTCAGTAGGTGAATAATTTTTCATCGATCCTAGCCCTACTCTAAAATGTAATAAATATATTGTGCAGGGTGTTTAAATACTGTTATATATTCTTGGCCAAAGTTTAAATCGTGAAATATCTTGTAAAAGCGTAAGTATCGGATGTTATAGTCTCATGTCTTCTGAGTAATTTGAATATTTAATCGTCTAATCATCTTGATCTTGAGATATTCATTTTTGTATCACCGGTCACATTTTCCGCACGAAATTTCTTTAAACTTTTTTGTATTTGCCAAACTAATTTGTTGGCGATATGGGTGTTCGAACAACATTTTATTACAAGTTGATAGAGGCTCTGTTTATTTTGTCACTCTCTGTGCTCAGTCAATTAAGTTTTTGCTTTCCTATATATAAAGTATTCTTGTTTTCGCGTCTAAGAATATGTTTTATTTCTTCATGGAGATAAATAAGTAACAAAATAAACAGAAGTTAACAGCTCTAAGCTTCTAATAACCTTTTGTTTGCACAGCCTTCTTCGGAATTAAAAAGACTTAGAAGATTAAATACATTTCGTGCGGCAAATGTGATCGGTGATACAAAAATGAATATCTCAAGATTAGCCGACGATTAATTATCCAACTTACTACGGTTTTAAACTTTGACTAAAAAAAACATGACACTATTTAAGCACACTTTACAATATATTTCTTACATTTTTCTTGCTAGTATTAAAACTTAAATTTGGTTCACTAACTCCATTCAAAAACTGTGCAAATCGAATTACCGAGTGAGAAAATATTCATAGTAGACAATTAGAAAATATTTAAGCTATCAGTAAAATTTTCAGTGCAGTTTATACATTGCAGGGTGATTTACGTAGACCGTGCATTAGAAGTTTTCCAACTTACAGTTGACGTCTTGACTTACGAACTTACAGTTGACTTAAAGACGTCTTTAAGATGTCTTTGCGCTGTTTGGGTACAAACTTTTTTGGTCCTGTTTGAAAATTTACCTATGATTAAACCATAATAAACTAGACAGGATCAAAAAAGTTGGTAGATGCAATTTAAATCAACGTATTTCTTGATTTTTCATGTTAATGTTTGTAGGCTGCAAGCATTTTTTCTTAAACAAATGACATATATCAAAAACTATAAGAGATAAGTTAACAAAGTTGGAAAACTTCAACAGTGGTCGAAAACGCCATTTTCGCCACAAAAAATATTTACACTAAAAAAGTTGCTGGTATATTAGGGCCGGATAATTATGATGAAATGTTTCAAATATGGCTGTATGGTGACGGAACTTAAATAACTATTGGAATCGCTCGGGAATGGTATTGACGAGCTTAAAAGTTCAGGCGCCCCCTGGTGGCAAAAATTATAACTACAAGTTAAGTAGCAATTTCACAGTTCCTTTGTAGGTTCAATATTGGTGTTCACATCTGATTGTGATTTGTTGTGCTTTGTTCTAATCAACTTTTGCAAGCTTTTAAAGAAATAGAGAAAGATCGAAAAGTGTGTAAGTATTGATTTATGTTATAAATATCATGAACTAAAATCAATAAACAAGTCTGACAAGTGTCAACTGTCACTCGATAACGAGTAATTTGACGTTTCGCAGCGCCACCATTTGAATGTCCGTTGAATTCGCGAATACCTAGGTACACGGCCGATTAAGATTGGACGGACATTTTTTACATAATGCAATTGTTCAATAATCGTCTGGGAAAAAATACATTTTTTTAAATTTTGTGTACTGGCTCAGTTACGAATATTTTTTGCGCCTGCGCTTTTACACCTTCTTGGACCCTTATACTATCATATACAATTGCTATATTAACTATGTTTTAGTTTTTAATAACTTTTTGAGCGGTTTCAAAATTAGAAAATTTTGGCTTTTAAATAATAAGCCCGTGAAGCGGGATTTGCTTGATTGATTGGGTTTTTGAAACCGCTCAAAAAGTTATTAAAATTTGAAAAATGGTTAATATAGCAATTGCATATGATAGTTTAAAGGTCCAAGAAAGCAAAAACAGGGCGGTCGCAAAAAACATTCATCATTTTGAGCCTGTCATAAAATTTAAAAAAGTATTTTTTCCCAGGTAGGTTACTTAACAATTGCATTATGCAAAAACTGTCTGTCCGATCTTAATCGACCTTGCAGCTATCGTTTTGTATTGCATCTAAGTACTTTTCTCTAAGTGTATGGCGTGATTAGATTTGTTCTTCGTTAAATAAATAATTTAAAATTAAACAAATTAAAAAATGCCTTCGAGCATTTTGCAGCGACCATTTCATATCTACGGATATCGGACCAATTCTATCGTGTAGCAAATTTCATAACGAACAAATTTACAGTAAGTATCCATTTTTTCTCTAAAATGCATACTTTCCCAGTTATATACGAGTGTTTTTCACATTTTCGTTGTTTATGCAATAAGCACACCTTTTGAATCTTGCGCAACCTCGATATTTTCAAAAGGTAGGTATACCATTCCAGAGCGATTCCAATAGCTTTCTCAGTTAAGTCACGTTATAGCCATGCCAAAGTGTAACCCCCAGGACCTATCTATATGGATTTCCTATAAAGTGAGCATATTATTGATCGCGAGAGCCAGCGCCTGATCATCTAGTTAATTACCGATTGATAGCCGATGCTAAGGCATAAATGTGAAATCACCATTACTTAAGTACCTTAGCTTAAGCTGTTTCAATTCATCACTCTTAATTTTGCTTAACTCCCGAGCTAAGTTATTCTCTTGGTCATGTTGATATTCATTCAGAGCCATTTCCTCATTCCGAATTTGAATTTGTTGTTCATCTTCAAACTCTTTCCTTTGCTTGTTCATAAAACGAACCAAATTGCCAAATCGTGTCTTCTCTTCCATTTTAGTTTTACATAATTGTAATTTATCTTCACTGAGTCTGGTGAGGTGTTCGGTGCGACGTTCTTCATTTTTGTCCCGAAAAAGATCCTTTAATTGACAGAAAATAAATCAGTGCTAAGGGGAATTTTTTCCTAAAGGTTAACTCGAATTATGCAGACAAAAAGTTTACCAGTTAGTGTCTTTACCATTAGGAAGTTAACCTCGTGTCGGCTTTTGTAGCTCAAAGTACCTCATAAGATTCAAATGGCTAACTAGTAAACAAGAAAGTTGTTTTGGTCAAAGATTCTGTTTGATCCTAATGCTGATGGCGCTTTTGGATTGACTTGACAAGTGACAGATGATGAAAAAGTAGGATTGTTGTTGCAAATCTATGGTTGCATAATAGAAAAAAAATAAAAATCAACTTGATAAGAGCATTGGTTTTATTGACTAAGGAATCATGATCAACAGAACCGAGTGTTATACAATAAGGACTTTATCGACGATTACATCAGATACTTTACTTAGTAGGCCCAAAGAAATTATAAATGAGAGTTATAATTATTTCCTAGGGTGCAGTGGATAAAAATATGTTATAGAGGTAAATTATTATGAATTTTTGTGATATAACTGGTTTATACGTGCGTCTACATAGCGGCCTTGCACAATTTATCCATCTCTACTAGGCAATCGGTTATACAATAACGTGTGCTGGCGTTTCAGATTAGCTGAACTTTTCAGTAAGCTATTTTATATTACACAAATGTTATAAAAAGGAACAAATTTACTGAATAATTTTTATGAATAGTTCTAAAAAGAGTAAAACTTGAAAAGTAAAATTATCAGATCAATGTTCTTACACTTTTTAATTTCGTAATATACTTTTTCCAATAACCTTTCTCCCCAAAAAAGATTTGAAACTTGTCACTTTCCATTCAACATTTTTGTTATATTTTTTTTTAAATATAAGGAATAATGCCCGTATGCACCGACAGACTTTAATCGCGATTAAGCCTTAAACCGGTTTAAAAATCGTACAGTATGCACCGTCGACTGTTTTGACCTTAAACGCGTTTAACTTTAATCCGCCAACCTCCGAGGATTAGGGGGATTTTTCAAGTGAGCATTTGGAGATTTTAATTAAACCGATCTGGTATCACTGTGCACTGTGTTGTCTTTTGGTGGTTTGGTTGGTTTGGCAGCAGAGATGCCAGGCCTACCGATTTTTCGGTAGTTCAACCGATTCGTCAAGGAATCTGAAAAGTAAAAAAAATTACAGTGGATATTAATATACAATATAACACATTTCATATGAAAAACATACTCAGAAAACTATTTGACTGTTTTTTAAAAAGGAATTACTTACTTTCTGTTTCAATTTCCAACATTGACTTTAAAAATACTAATAATTTCTTACTCGTTTCTGCCATCTATTTAGGTGTTAATGTACAGAAAACAATTCTATAATCCGTAATATCAGAAGAGCAACTGACATTTTTTAAGTTAAGGTGTTTAGATTTTCATATCGAAGAATGATCACAAATGATAAAGCGGTACCCACTAAAAAATATTTCTATGGAAAAATTGTTTTTCGTATTTCTTTCGTTTCGTGGATCCGGCGATAGTGAAATCAGGTCCCTACAATCTATTTCTGATGATGCGATGATATTTCCAAATTTAATATATAATAGTGAATTAAAATGTCTGGACACATAATATTTTATAAAGTTTGTTCACACTTATTAAAATAATATATTAATAACTTTTTGCGTGTTAGTGGTGTCATATATAGACACAAAAAGAATTACGTACTAGGAAAAACTATTTTTATTTTATTTCTTTCATGCTATTTAAATATTGGAAACAAATAATTTTGAAATAACATTTGAATAATATTTAAAAAATATTTCCTTTAACTCTTAAATATTTGTTATTCATTGATCAATGAAAATTCATATAATATGTTCTAAAGTTTGTTCACATTTATTAAAAATAATATATTAGTAACTTTTTGGGTGTTAAGGTTGTTATATAATTAGGTACAATATAATATATTATATTAATAGGTACAAAAAGTATTATGTAATAAGAAAATTATTAATAACTTATTTGTTT